CAAAAGGTTAGATTGATTCTACTATTTTCCCTTTTCGTTTTATTTATGTACTAGCCGATAACCGGGCATTGCCCGGGTAATTATTTATTTATAGGGGAAAATGTCCGGACCAAACATAATTTCTAATACTGGATTTTCACCCCTTACCAGAGGGAGCCCCCCTGTGGAGTACTGTGAAGCCGTTACCATGGCAACTCCACTGCGCTGCACAGTAGAAGCCATTTTACAGCAGTACAGTAGAAGTCATTTTAAGGCACAACAGGCTGTATCTTAACAGAATACACACCCCAAGTGGTTTTAGGGGTGTCTTACCTCCACAGTATTTGTTTCCAGAGAGTAAGTTATCTGTGTACCACGTTTGGTTGAAATTGCTCGTGCTCCAGAATTATGCTGGAGCATACACACACATTTCATTTCTACCTAAATGAAAGGATAGCATGTTCTTAAAAGCCTTCAAAATTTACAATATTGCAGAACTTTTTTACAAAGTTTGGTTATGAAATATTGACGATTTATTTGTTCCTCTATTACTGTATGCAATATTCTTCTGACTGGTGTTCCAAATTTATGTCTCTGTTGCCTGATCTTACACTAGAATAATGCATTTGAGATTGTTTTAAGCCTTTTAAGTTGTTCGTGTTCTCATTATATTGTTGTTATGGTTTAGGAGGAAGATCCGTCTTTAGAAGCAGTAAGAGCTAGAGTTGTACGCCTTCTTGGAACTTTGGGAGGACAAATCAATCGGAATTTAATTACAGGTAACAATTTTATTTACATGCTTTTATATTTTTTCTTGTTTAAAATTATTGCACTAGTTTTACACTTTTATATTGGTTCTGTTTAAAAGCTGCCCAGAGTCATATATTGTACATACCCAAGTATTAACGCATCTGTGCCTAAGCTAGTTCTCAGATTTTTAACCAGACATTCTTTTCTAAACATGCCAGCTGCTTCTGCAGAGGAAAAGATGAAAAAATTTGTATCCTGGGATATAGAGAAGCATCTGAATTTTGCAGTTCCATTTGCTGATATGAAGCCTATTATATACTTGGATTTATTCTTGCCTCGGGTCACTGAATTGGCTCTTTGTGCTAGCGACAGACAAACCAAGGTATTAGGCTGAATGTTTTTGTTCTGTTCTTTTCTGTTGAACTATTTTTTTTCTGGATTGGGGCTACTGTTCATTATTAAAAGTAATCTAGATATGAACGATACAAATAAATACTCCAAAAGTATACACTCTGAAGATCTTTGAATATAGTGACGTTATTTACTTATTGATTATTGGGAGCAATATACTGACTCGGTAAACCACTTAAAGGTAAAGGTTCTCTTCGCACATATGTGCTAGTCGTTCCCGACTCTAGGGAGCGGTATTCATCTCCATTTCAAAGCTGAAGAGAGAGCGCTGTTCAAAGACGTCTCAGTGGTCATGTGGCAGGCATGACTAAATGCGGAGGATGCAAGGAACGCTGTTAACTTCCCACCAATGGTGGTCCCTATTTTTCTACTTCTATTTTTTACACGCTTTCGAATTGCTAGGTTGGCAGAAGCTGGGACAAGTAACATTACGTGATGCTAGGGATTCGAACTGCTGAACTGCTGACCTTTCGATCAACCGGCTCAGCGTTTTATCCACTGAGCCACCACATCCCCTTAGAAAAACCATTTAGAAAGTGCTGTAAAGCACTTATATTAGTCTAGGTGCTATTGCTATTGCGTTTATATCCGGTCTTCTCTCAAAGACTTCAAGGTGATATATGTAGAAGTCTGCCTTACTTTTATGCTTACAGCTGCAGTTCTGTAGGATAGGTTGGGTGGCCAGAAAATGGTACAGAATGCTCCAGTGAATTCCATGTCAAATAAAAAGTAAAACTTGATTCTCTCCTGTACATGTCCAAGAATGTAAGCATTACTCACTTCAGCTTTTTAATTGCAGCATAAAGATGTTAATTATTTGGTGAAATATTCATCCCTGTCTATATATTGCTTGTATGTTTTAAAGAAAAATTAAAGTTTTAGTGTTGTAATGTAACATTCTTTCACATTAAGTTATATTTTTATCAGATAGAACTTGCTGAATAATTCATAATGATAGGTTAGTTTGGAACAATACAATCTAATAACTGATCAGTAGTCACATTTTTCAGGTTGCAGCTTGTGAACTGTTGCACAGCATAGTTATGTTCATGCTGGGAAAAGCTTCTCAAATACCTGAAGGTCACGAGAATTCCCCACCAATGTTTCATTTGTATAAACGTATGTTTCCTGTACTGCTTCGACTTGCTTGTGATGTTGACCAGGCAAGTAAATTTCATTTTACTGCTTCAAAGTGAGATTGGTTTTTGATGTTAAAAAAAAATCCTTCATTTCCAAAAAAACAGATTTCCAATGAATTTGGATTGCATTTTTGGTCATATTGCCTCTCCCACAGGAAAACTTACTTTTTTGTCTGTTACATCATGGAAGCCATTAAAATCTAAAGAGCGGGAGGAAATAGTTTAAAACTAACAAAAAAAAGTCATCAGTCCAGTCAATATATAGGTTAACTCAGTGTTTCTGAACTAATTTAATAACGGATTACTTAGTGGAAAAATGAGATTCAGTTTGGCCAATCAATTCCTGATATAAACAATGGATCCAACTCCCAGTTGATCAACTCCCCCCCCCCCCAAAAGTAACAACAAAAAAACATCCTGCACCTGTGGGGAAAACTTTAGGAAGGAAATAAAAATATGTTAGGAAAATTTGAGAATAGCATGCATGTAAAGCAAATAAACTCTCCTTAGTCTTTTTTAATTGTTCACATTTTTTAATGAATTTGTGAATGCCTTCCTGTCCTCTCCAAATATTTGAATCCATTTACTTTCTCCCTTGAGTTCATTTATTTTCTGCATGCTATAAGGATTCTTACTACAAATGCATAAGGACAAGAAGGTTGTTTGATTGAAATCTGTAATTTCTTGAGGGCTAGAGGCAAGTGAATCTCCAGTTTAATAAAATCTCATTTTTATATATTTATCTGTTGTTTCCTTTTGGGATTGCCTGTACAAGATCATAATTCACTTATCATAGTATGTATAGATTTACACTCAGCAATTGTACTTCAGACATATCAGTTTATCATTCTGAATTTAAGCATATTTGCCAATACATGTACGGAATGTTTCAGTGGTCAAATCAAAAGGGAAAAATAGAAATAATTACATAGCACTAAATATTTAATAAAATATAATGAGTTGAAGCTGTATGAAACCAACATGTATGTGTTTCTAAAAACTCCCAACAAACATTGGGATCATTTTGTGAGATTTTTTCTACAGTATAATTATAAATCTAAAATGCAGAATAAACTAATCGTTTATTTCTTTAGGTTACAAGACAACTCTATGGCACTTTAGTAATGGAATTAATTCATTGGTTCACAAACAATAAAAAGTTTGAAAGCCAAGACACTGTTACACTACTGGAAGCAATTTTGGTAAATGATTATTGAGTAAGATAAATTATAAAGATTTCTGTCAAAGTTGTAACTTACCAGTCTAAGATTTTCTCAAATAATTTTCAATTTCTTATACAGTGGTTGACAATTTGCCCAACTACTATTGTTTTATTTTTGACGATTGCAATGTGGGTCTCATGCTGCTGTGTTTATTTTATGTTTACTTCTATTTTTTAAATATAATTTAATTATTTGATTGTTGATTTTAACCAACTAGAGAATCCTTTTTTTTTCTATTTAAAAAAATCCCTATTATTAAGCCAAAAAATTATCTTGGAGCAATTTACTTGAAAAGGTTAAATAGTCAATTTTTGCTGTCATTGATATTTGTAATTATTTGGATAGCCTAAAAATGCCATATATAAATTACTTCCCATTTGATATTGTGTTGCATAAGTTGCATATCTCTGAAACACAGTGAATCTAGACTGTTCTCTGTTTCAGGATGGGATAGTGGATCCTGTAGACAGTACTTTGAGGGACTTTTGTGGTCAGTGTGTCCATGAATTTTTGAAATGGTCCATTAAGCAAACTACTCCACAGCAGCAAGAGAAAAGTCCAGTGAACACCAAATCTCTTTTTAAGAGGCTGTACAGCCTTGCTCTCCACCCTAATGCTTTCAAACGGCTAGGAGCTGCCCTTGCTTTCAACAACATTTACCGAGAGTTTAGGTGAGCAGTGAATAAATTAATAGCTGAATCAAGCAATAGAGTAATGTGCAAATGTTTGTGCAGTTTCTATCAAATGTACTTTAAAATACTATTAGAAGTTGTTACTTGTGGGATAATAAGCAGTTGTCAATCTTACGCAGATAAACACTGCTAGAACCTTTTGTGATACTGTATTGAGTGCAATAAATTTGAATTCAAAATCAAATAAGTAAAATACTTCAGTCTATTACATTTGTGCAACTGTTTTGCTGTGTTCATAGTTATTAAAATCTGGATTGTTCTGCATGATTGGCATTGGGTATCACAGCTATGGTGTCTGTTCATGTTTAGTAGAATCCAGTTAATAACTCATGTTTATGCCAAAAGGGATCAAATTGTTCTCACCTAAATAAGCTTAATTTGTTTCCCCTTTGTTTCACAGAGAAGAGAATGCTCTGGTGGACCAGTTTGTTTTTGAAGCATTGGTTGTATATCTGGAAAGTCTGGCCTTGACACATGGAGATGAGAAGTCTTTAGGTGATATTGACAGCTTTGTTGGTTGTTTCAGAATTCTTTAAAAACTTCAGGCCTCAATAGTTTTTAATAGTTTTCTAATGAAATGTTTCTGTTTTGAGCAGTTAGAATATTTCTATAAAATTACCATATTTTTTGGACTATAAGACACTCAGGACTATAAGGTGCACCTTGCTTTTGGGGAGGAAAACAAGGGGAAAATATCTGACTCCCAGCATCCGTCTGGTATTCATCTGGCATGTTCGTCGCTGCCCATTCGCCTCTGCCCATTCACCACTGCGGCCACAGCCTATTCACTGACATCATGGCACATTCCAGAACAGCTGATTGGCGTCACATTAAAACCCCTCCCCCCCGGCCACAATATTTGCTGTATAAGACGCACAGACATTTCCACCCAGTTTTTTTTGGGGGGGAGTGCATTTTATACTCAGAAAAATACAGTATATTGTAGATATGTGTTGACAGATAAATTTGTAAAAATGCTTTTTAAAAAAATAGACTCGAAATACTTTTATGTAGGGTTCATATTTTATGTTATTTTAATATGTTCATTTAAGCATTAAATTTTAGTAATGTATTTATTTATTACAATTCTAAAAATAGAAAACAATTAAAACAGTCAAAACATTCTCAAAATAAATAAATCATCAATCATGATTAATCAACTAATAAAACCTTTTACTATGTAATACTTTAATTACAAACAATCAAACCAAGTGGAGCATGTTCAAGGTTTTCTGTTTTCCAAAATGGGGAAAAATGAGAACTATTAAAAATTAGACTATAAGTGTACAACTTTGTGGATTAAACATAGACTGAATACAATTTTCAGTCGGAAATGTATTCACTATCAGATTTCAGATTACCTTTTCAGATCAAGCACGTGGAAGATATATCATCTACAGTTCTCCAGTGCGCTGCTTGGAGAGTCCAAGCGTGGGTTAGCACAGCCTATCTGCCCTTGGACTGAGTAATGATTTTCTTGACCACGCCTCCCTTTGCCTCTCCATGTCTAATTTAAAAACTCAGTCCACCCGTAGGGACTATTTTGGGAGTGCTCCAGTCCAGGGGTAGATAGACTGGGGTTTCCCAACCGAAAATTTGATCACTCAAGCTAATTCCATCTTAAATACATCACCAAGGCTAAAGAGCTGCATCTGAAGGCTTAATTCTGCTGAGAGGGGCCGGGCCATCCATTCCGCTGCCGCGGATCACAAATGGAGCGGCACATGTGAGTCGCCCGTCCAGCATCAGCTGGCAGGCGGGGAGATAGGGACGGGCAGTTCCCTTGACGCGTATTGCTGTTTTTGCCAGTTTCTCAACTTACAAGGTGCTCCTCGCTTCTGAGGCACTCCAGCTTATTCTGCCCAGCAACAGCGGTGGCCATCTTGGTGGTGTTCGTGCGCTTTCTCCTCATTGGATGCCTGATTGGCACGCGGAGGCTGTCCATGCAGCGGGGGCCATTTTGTGCTATCCTTTCGCCGTGTGGGCTCATTTCGACCTGCGAACCAACTTGTGAGGCAGCGGTTGTGATTCGGTGCGAACGGAGCCAGGAGAGCGTGAATTGCCCAGAGTTACCTCTCAGCCGCAGATACCGCCAGGAAGCGCGGTCCTAGTCCAGGGCGCCGGCTAGGCCTGCCCTTTACCCTCTACAAGGCCAGTGACATCGGAGTGCGGTGGGGAGGAGGATTCCGACCTCTTGGCGGCCCTTTCCTCCCTCAACGATTCTGCGGACGCGCTTGAGCCATTAGGCCAGCGTCAGGTGCCCTAGTACTACGCACAGCGTGTCAGCCATCTAATTCAGTTGGCAAGCAACTGAGGCCGCAACGTCGTGCCCTCTTGCTCCTGTTTGGAGGACAGCATGGCTGATGACAGTGTGAGGCCTCAGGAGGAGCAGGCAGGGCCCTCCAGCAAGCGTAGTAGGGCTGACCCTAACCCAATTGGGGGGAAAGGGGGTAAGGGTGCCCGTAAGAAGCCCTTCCTGGTCCCTCTGAGCCCAGTGATAAAACCAGGCAGGGCCCCCGCCACCACAAACAGGCGGAGGGCTCCGACCTTCAGCTCCAAGGGGTTCGGCCTCCCTCAGAACAGGGCAGGAATTCCCCTGAAGAACCATCTGTCAGGGGTGGGGGTGGATACTCCCCTTCGATCAGGGACAGTGGGTCACCATCCCTGGACCGAGAATCTTTCAGGGATCCATCCCCTGATGCATCCTGGGGATACCCTGACTCCCCCAGCTCATCTCTTAGGGAGGAACTGGGACCCTTTCAGGGCATGTTGCCCACAGATGAGGAGTGTATCACTGGCAAACAGAAGCGCCTTGCTCTTCCCAGTAGGCATTGCCCCAGGGAGGACAAGGGCTCACCTCTGTCAGCAGAGATGAGGGAAGTCATTTCCATCGCCATCTCCCAAGGCATAGCTGAGGGCATAAAGCTTAAAGGTTCTAGTAAGTCTAAGCCTTCCAAATCCAAGCAGCCAAGCTCATTCTCCAACTCTAGAGACCCGGCCACCTCTGTTTCCTCGGAGGAGTCTTCCTTGGGGGAGGAGGAAGACCTTCCCCCCGACCAGTTGGCCTTCACAGGCCTCTTCAAACCAACACTATTCAAATCTATTCTTCACAAGGCCAGGATGGCCACTGAATTGGGATCTAGTCCCAAACCTGACTCCGCCCAGGCCTCTTCCTCTAAGGATCACAAACAGGGTCTGTTTAAGGAATCTCCTTCCACCTGAGAATCCATCCCTGTCCCGGATCTCTTTTTGGACATGATCCAGAAACAAAGGGTCCAACCTGGTACCCTGACCAACCCCAGCGGGGAGGATAAAAATCTTCAGTTGAGGACAAAATGGAGGAGGTCTTGAAGCTGCCGGAGGTGGAGGCCCCAGTAATGTCTTTGACCTCGAATTCTAATTTGCCTGCGGACCTTCTTGAAGGTCTTAAGGTCGAGGATAAAAGATCGGAGAAGGCATGCCACAAAACACACATGGCAGCGGCCTGGGCCATCAAGGGATCCACCTCAGTGTCTTTGTTCACCAGAGCATCACTGCTCTGGCTGAGGCAGTTGCGGTCCAAGCCACCTACCAGAAAGTCAAAATGGCGCCACGATTTCACAAAAATCATTACCGCCATTGAGTATTCGGCAGATGCTTCACTCAATGCAGCAAAGTTTGCTTCCAGGGCCCTAGCCTCCAATGTGACATCTCGACGCCTCCTGTGGCTGCGCCACTGGCAGGCTGATATGAAGGCCAAGTGGAAGCTTGCTTCCGCCCCCTTCAAGGGAGGACACTTATTCGGGGACGCCCTGGATAAGTTCGTTATAGAAACTAAAGACAAGCAAAAGATTCTCCTGGCCACCCTTAAGAGAAACAAACGCAAACAGTTCGGTTCCTTTCGTAGACAGGCCTTTCGAAGTCAGGACTCTGCCCAGGCATCTTCCTTCTCCTCCTACTCGAGGATCTTCCATCAGGGGGGGCGACAGGAACCAGGAAAGGGGGTCCTTTAGTGCCCGTGGGAGGCAACATCAGTCCTCCTTTCGGAAGCCATTTCGAGGGGGCCACAATGGCAACAACAATAGCTCTCGCCAGTTCCGCAGGGGGAAGTGACTGCCAGGGGATTCCTCCCATAGGGGGTCGGCTACAACTATACGCCGACAGGTGGGAGGAGATCACCTCAGACAGCTGGGTCCTCTCCACGATCAGGAGGGGCCTGGTTCTAGAATTTCTATCCTTTCCCCAGAAAAAGTTCATCCGCTGTCCCACCCCCAAGAATCCGTTAAAACGGGAGCTCATGCAGGCGGAGATCCTCCATCTTCTCCAGATAGAGGCCATAGAGCCCGTCCCCAAAGAACAGGAACGACAGGGCTTCTACTCCATCCTCTTCTTAGTTCCGAAGAGTTCGGGGGGGTGGAGGGCCATCTTGGACCTAAAGAGCCTCAATCAGCATCTGGTTTACAAGAGGTTCAAGATGCAATCCCTCCACTCTATTCTGGATTGCTTGCGGGAGGGGGACCTGTTAACTTTCATAGATTTGAAGGAAGCCTACCTCCATGTCCCCATCCATGCTGCCCACAGGAGGTTCCTGAGGTTCTGTTCCGAGGGGAAGCACTACCAGTACAAGGCTCTCCCCTTCGGTCTCTCATCTGCGTCCAGAACCTTTACCAAGATCCTGGCGGTGGTGGCAGCCCACCTCCGGACCTTCCCCATACGTCTGGAATGTTATTTGGATGATATAATTATTCATTCTGTCACAGCAGAGCAGGTTTAACGGGATGTCCGCCTCACGGTCCAGACGCTGCAGCAACAGGGCTTCTCTGTCAACGTGGAGAAGAGCCAGTTCCGGCCATCAACACGCATTCAGCATCTAGGCGCCGTCATCGACTCCACCTCCGGCCGGGTGTTCCTGTCTCCAGATCGCCTGACCAATCTGAGGAACAGAGTCAAACGTTGCCGTCTGTCCAGGTCGGTGCCTATCATCGAGCTCTCCCAGCTGCTGGGGCTGATGATTTCTTGCCTAAAGATCGTGCCCTGGGCCCGTCTCCATTCCAGGGAACTGCAATGGTTTCTCCTGCCTTGCAGAGAGCCAAAACCAGCAACTCCCACAGGCGAATGCGCCTCCCACTGAAGGTGGTCCAATCACTGACCTGGTGGAGGTCCAAGGCAGTTGTAAAGGGCTGCCTGTTCTGGGAACCGGAACGAATCGTGGTCACCACAGACGCGAATCTCCTGGGATGGGGCACCCATTGCCAGAGTTAACTTGCCCAGGGTCAATGGTCCCAGAGGGAGGCTGCCCACAGCATCAACTGGTTAGAGCTGAGGGCAGCCCGACTGGCCCTGTGACACTTTTTTCGCCTAATCGAGGGAAGACATGTACTGTTACAGACAATGTGGCCACAAAGGCCCACATAAACAGGCAGGGCGGCACACACTCCAAGGCGCTCAAGAGGGAGGCAGAAGCCCTGGGAAGGTGGGTGGAGAGACGTCTGGCTTCTCTCAGAGCAGATCACATCTCCGGGACCAGCAATCGAGAAGCAGATTGGCTAAGCCGACAGCGCATCGATCACTCAGAGTGGCCTCTACATCCGGATCTATTCCACCAGATCGTGTGGAGATTCGGCAAACCACAAGTAGACCTCTTTGCCACTCACTCCAACACACAACTGCCACGATTCTTCTCCTGCTACCATTCACCGTCAGCTGAGGGGACGAACGTACTGAGGTGCGGGTGGCCCCGGGGACTCTTTTTTTTTTTTGTCGTTTTATTTCCATTTCATTCTATACAATCACGTTTACTGTGCAACCGAGGCATATAACATTGGGTAATAAACACAGCCCTCACTTTTATAGAAAATNCATGTGTTCATTTCCCAAATTTTCTGGCACATGGCTGTGATAGTTGTGGGTGGTACAAGCCTCAGCAATTCTATGGGGATGGGGTCGACACCTGGGGTCTTGTTGTTTGTCAATTGGCTGTGTGTGTTTGTGTGTGTGTGTGTGTAAGATACCCATCACAAAACCTTTCTTCTCCAGTTCTTACCTTTCACGAAAGATAAAATCCAGTTCTCCAGAACATTTGTAAATGAAATTATATTTAAGCTGTACTTTCCAAAAAGATAACAGACAACCTATATCCCAGGAAATAAAATTGGAAAAAGTGGGAATCTTTTCTACAGCTCTTGTACTTAAGGTTGCCTATCTGCCAACAACCTGACCTATGTGCCTATCACGTAACTTGCCAGTCATATTATAAAAGAGGGATGGAAGCTGAAGTTTAAGGATTACAATAGCCAATTTATGCCATGATATCACTACACCAAAGAGTGTAAAACCATGGATAAATGTCCACAACCTCAACTTCAGCTTGAAGATTTCAGCTTCAACAGCTATGATAACTATGCTTTTTTTAAAATAAAAATATCTGTACTCCCTTATCTTCGTGTGAGTAAAATCAGACACTGCAGGAAGTAATTTAACTTTCTCCTTTATTGCCAAATCTGTACAGTCTCTGCCAGGCTCTAAAAAATACTGCTGTATTCACCATAATTTCTTCCTTCTATCTGCAGTGCTGGTTTTGCTTGTCTCAAACGCCTTTTCTCTCTGCAGATGCCGACGTAAGAAAAGCAGAAGAATCAGACCTCACTCCCTGCAATGAGCATTGTTTTAATAGCATTCTAGGCTGATGCTACTATTATTATTATAACCCAATTGAAATGAAAATATTTTTTTTCAAAATAAAAAACCCCCTTCAATGTGCTTGACCCCCTGCAGGGAAGAAAATCAGCAGCAGGGAATCGAGAGGAAACAGTCCCAGCATTATATGTAAACAAACAGGAGGTACAATATCTTTTAAGGCTATTGAAGATGCCTAAGAATTTCTCGGATAAACAAAACACAGCCAGAGCTACATGGTTCCCAACCAGCATTAACCACCTAACAGATGCCCTCAGCAGGGTTCACAGCTGTTAACTGTGCGAATAGGATTTTGCTCAGCCAATTGTGGGTGAAAAGCTTCTCCTTGAGATGCAGAGCTACAGTCAAAGGCCTATTTGCCACTCCGTCAGCTGAAAGCCATAGATTTGATGAGTGCCTTCCACAGCACAGTCAGCACAGTCAGATGCCAGGCTCAGAAAACATTCATGAACCGTGTGCCACAGTCACATGTCTTTCCCTTCTGCTGTTCCTTCTCTTCCAATGTAGGGTTTGGACAAGTATTCAGCCACCTTTACTTTATTTGTCTGTCTGTCTACCATCTATAACCTTTCTAAACGAAGTGGCTGCCCATCTCACTGTGTAAATCTGGGTGGTGTACAATAAAACAAGCAATTAAAACACATCTTAACCATTGAAAACAATATAGAAATACAGGCAGTCCTGGACTTAAAACGGTTTGTTGAGTGGCCATTCAAAGTTACAACAGCACTGAAAAAAGTAACATGACCGTTACGATCATTGTGTCATCCCCGTGGTCATGTGAGCAAAATTCAGACATTTGGCAACTGACTCATACTTATAACATTTACAATATCCTGGGTAATGTGATCCCCTTTTGCGACCTGACAACGAAAGGCAGTGGGGAAGCCAGATTCACTTAACAACCAGGTTACTAAACTGCAGTGATTCACTTAACTGCTGCAAAAAATGGGGCAAAATCACTTAACAAATGTTTCACTTAACAACACAAATTTTGGGCTCAATTGTGATTGTAAGACTACCTGTATAAATGAGATCACAGGTGAATGCACCAATATTTCACATACAATATAGCTATCTCCTGGGCTCCCTACAATCATGGAGTCCCCTTCTTGGAAAAAGAAAATTACATTTTAAGAGATTTCCAGAAGGGCCTTTCATCTATATTTGCACTCACCAAGTTGTTTCTTTGTGTGTTAAGAAGATGTAAGGTATGTTAAGAACCTAAGGAAATGCAATCACACATCTTGAGAAGAAGGGGGAGGTGAGGAAGCAAAATTTTACTAAGTGAAAATTTCTTAATTTTAACTTTTAGAGGACCTCGGAGGGTTCTTTACATGACTTCCTTATTCTGCATGCCAGCACCGATATTTGTTTATAAACGATTAGGGCTGGAAACGTGTAGCAGCCCATGTGGTGTGGGAATGCAAACTCTGAACAGACATAATAGTTGTCATAGTAAGAGACAAAAATGGAGACTTCTGTGGCAGAGCAAGTTCAAAGAAAAATGATCTGCAATTTGCATGAAAATAAAGCATTATAATTGGTTGTGGATGTAGCAATAGCAGTTAGACTTATATACCGCTTCATAGGGCTTTCAGCCCTCTCTAAGCGGTTTACAGAGTCAGCATATTGCCCCCACAGTCTGG